TCCAGCAGACCCATTACAACTTTCTCAAGCCTTTTCTTCTTCAAATGCAAATCTCTTTCTTCACATCTCCTTCCTCTCATCTCAAAAATGGGTTTCAATGTTTTTTTTTTTTTTTTTTTTTTTTTTTTTTTTTTTTTCATTTACTCTTAGCAAATGGGTTTCAATGTTACAAAGCCACCTACATATGTTCTCGCTGGAAGACGTCGTCGACATCGCTATCTATGTTTCTCTATATGTTTTTATATATAGTTAAATGCAGATTTGGTGATTTTTAGAAGTATTAAGTTCTTGGTTTTTTTTTTTTTCTGTATAATTACTAGGCCTATAGAGAAGAATAAAAATGAAGAAATGCTTGCAAATGAGAAGCAGAAATATACTCTGTAACAAAATACTCAAAGAGATGAAGAAAGAAGAAGAACAGTAGCAATGAAAAGTCAGATAGTACAAGGGTATAATTGTAAAGAGAGTCCAATTTTTTGCTTCTCTTAAAATGCGTGCCAAAAGCAAACCAGACATTTATTTTGGGATTGAGGGAGTATTTAATTTAATTTTTTTTTTGAGAGCAAAAGCGAATACATTAACTTAAGTCAAAAAGAAGAACATTACAATGGATAGCAGGAGGGTTAGAAAGCCACTCCGAACAACCAGACACAGAAACGGACTGCTTAGCCACAGTATGAGCTGCTCGATTCGCTGATCGCTTAGTAAAAGCTAAACACACATGAGAAAAACCTCTCAATAGGTTTTTTATATCACAAATAAGCAAATGAAAAGAAGATTGTCCAGCAGAATGTTTGCAGCTTTGGACCACCTTAAGGGAATCTGTCTCAACTTCTATCTTGTCAAGATTTAAAGTTTTTATCCAGCTTAGAGCTTCTTTGATCACAGTAGCCTCTGCTTCTCTTGGGCTGTATAAACCACATCTTTGCATTCCTCTCGCAGCGACAAAACTGCCATTCTCATCCCGAATAACACAGCCGAAGCCCATTTTGGAATTTCTCGCATCAATGGCAGCATCAACATTTAATTTCAGAAAGCCGTGTCGAGGTTTGGACCACTTGCATTCCTCTTGATTTAGATTTGTAAGCCGTGTCGAGGTTTGGACCACTTGCATTCCTCTTGATTTAGATTTGTCCCACCTCCAGGGAGCTTCTGCTTCGCTGCTCTCCATTCCTCCAAGAAGGATCTGGCTTTGTTCAATGTAGCGATGGCGGGTAGGGAGTTCTTGTTATTCCATACTTTGTCGTTCCTCTGTCTCCATATCTCCCAGCAAGTAGTGATGAGAATGCCAAGTTGAGAATGATCGAGGCGTGGCATATTTAATGTAAGCCAGTGGATAAAAGTACAGTTTGGAGGGACAATGAGATTGAGTCCTGCAAGGCTCCATCGATCCTTAGCGAATTTGCAGTTCACGAACAGATGACAACTAGTTTCGAACTCATCGTTGCACAAGGGGCATGTACCATCACAATTAATTCTTCTTCTATGCAGCAGATGTCTTGTTGGAAGGAGGTCAGAACATAATTGCCAGAACAAAACTTTGATTTTGGGAGGAAGTCTAAGTTTCCAGAAAGCTGCCCATGATTTCTTATCATCTTGACAAAGGTCACCATTAAGGACTCTATAGCAGCTTTTCACCGAGAAGGTTCCATCATCATCAGGAGCCCAAATAATCTTATCCCGGTAATCATGACTTGGCAAAGGGATCCTCAATATTAAATCAGCATCTCTCCTATTGAAGATAGTGTTAATGATTTCCTCATCCCAGCTATTGTCATCAGAATCTTTCAAGGAATCCACAGTTGCATTCTCTAACAGAGGGTAAGGGAAAGAAGACACCAATGGATTGATCTTGTCTGGCAGCCATTTGTCTTTCCAAATATGAATAGAGTTGCCCTTGCCCACTCTCCATCTGCTATGCTTCCTAATTATATCCTGAGTTTCCATGAGACTGCTCCAAATGAAGGATGGGTTGTAGCCTCTGTCCGCTTCCAGAAACGAAGACCGAGGGTAGTATCTAGCTTTGTATACACGAGCAGCCAAAGAGTTAGGATACTTGATGAGCCTCCATGATTGTTTAGTGAGCATTGCTAAATTGAAGTTCCTCAGATTTCTAAAGCCCATGCCACCCCAATCTTTAGGAATACATAGTCTGTCCCAGGATGTCCAATGAATACCACTTCTATTGCCACTTTGATTGCCTCTCCACCAGTAAGCATTCATGATTATCTCAATTTCTTTCACCATTTCTTTGGGAAGAAGAAATACACCTATGGCATAAGAGGGGATTGCTTGGATTATACTTTTGAGAAGAACCTCTCTCCCAACCTTAGAGAGCATTCTTTGATTCCAACCTCTGATCCTACTGATGATTTTCTCCTTTATAAAACCCAGGATCTGTCTCTTGTTTTTCCCCACAACCATTGGTAGGCCCAAATAATTCCCAGTCCCACCTACTCTGCTAACACCCAAGACAGAACTCACTCTCTCCCTCGTAACCTCGGTGACATTACCACTGAAACAAATAGAAGATTTATTGAAATTGATTATCTGACCAGAAGCAGTGGCATACTGATCAAGGAGAGTCCTTAGGTTAACAGATTCTGCCATGTTAGCTCTAAAAGAATACAAAACTATCATCAGCAAAAAGCAAATGTGAAATAGAAAGTGCCGATCTAGCCACTGAGATACCATGAATCTTTCCTTTCCTCTCACAGTCCCTTAACAAAGCACTGAAACCCTCAGCTACAAGGAGGAATAAGTACGGTGAGATAGGGTCACCTTGACGGAGACCTCTCTTGGGAAAAATAGGACATATTTCGTCACCCTGATTCAACACAAAATACTGGACAGTGGATGTGCACTGAATAATCAGATTGACCCACCTCACATCAAATCCAAGCTTAAGCATAACAGCCCGAAGTAAAGGCCACTCAACTCGATCATAAGTCTTGCTCATGTCGAGTTTAAGAGCAGCAAAGCCAGCCTTCCCCTGATTTTTACGTTTCAGAAAATGTTACATCTCGTAAGCTACCATAATGTTGTCCGTGATCAACCTCCCCGACACAAAAGCACTTTGATTTTCAGATATAAGGCTACTCAGGATAGGCTTTAATCTGTTGGCTATGGCTTTGGTAAGAATCTTATAAGCCACATTGCAGAGAGCAATGGGTCTCAAATCAGCCATTGTTTCAGGAGTGGGTTTTTTGGGGATTAGGACAATATGAGTCTGATTTAAGTTAGTGGGGAGATGACCATTACAAAGAAAATCATTACACATAGAGACAATACCATTACCAACAATATCCTAGTATGTATGAAAGAAACCGGGGTTCAAGCCATCAATACCTGGGCTCTTATCTGGGTGCATTCCGAAAGCCGCTGATCTAACCTCCTCGGCTGTGAATTTTCTCATGAGAGCATTGTTCTGGAGATCTGAAACGATTGGTTGAATGCACTGTAGGACCGAGTCTTGGTCCCCCGCTGAACTGTCAAAAAGATTGGTGAAGTAGTCCTTTACAAGCTGATTCATCTTCGGTCCTTGCATTACCCAATCTCCAATATAATTGTGAAGCCTGGTAATGGTATTATTCCTTCGCCTTTGAGTAACCATGTTGTGAAAATATTTGGAATTAACATCACCACCTCTGTACCAAAAAAGTTTTGCCCTTTGTTTCCAGAAGGAGTTCTGTTGATCAAGTGGAGAAAATCTTTCTGAGCACAAGAGAAATCTGTAAGCCCTTTGGCATCCACTCTGGAGCGGAGAGCTTCCATACGAAATCTGGCCTGCTCAATTTGATGATTAAGATTCCCAAGACCATCCTTCCCCCACTTCCATATTGCAACACTGCATAATTCAAATCTGGAAGCAAGATTGTACCCTTCTGAACTCTTCCACCTGCGGTTAACTATCACTCTGCATGCTTCGTCCTTGAGCCAAAAATTTTCAAATCGGAACCTTTTCCTTCTCTTTACTCGAACTGTCGGAATAGGCCATAAGGCTAAGGGTAAATGATCACTTAAAGGAGCTTCAAATGACATAGCTCTTGCATCCCCAAAGATTTCCAGCCAATCATTATTAACAAGTATTCGATCAAGCTTCTCTCTAACCCAGTTAGGGCCACCTCTGCCTTTTTCCCATGTGAATTGATACCCCTGGAAATCCATATTCCTGAGTCCACTATATTCAACTGCTTCACTGAATCCTTGAATACGCCACTGGGGTTGGGAATTAGGGCCTAACTTCTCTCTCTAGTTCAAGATATCGTTGAAATCACCTGAGACCGCCCAAGGAAGGTTGCAAAGATTAGACAATCTCTTGAGTAAATCCCAGGTATACCGCTTTCTGTTACTCTCGGGACATCTGTAAAAACCGGTGTAACGCCAGACGTGGGGTGAGTTATCCAAACTGACTTTAGAATCAATGAAGTTGGGGGAGTAACCGGTAATTGAAACATCCACAGTATTTTTCCAGAATAATCCAAGACCACCGCTGGACCCATTGCTTTCCACTGTAAACACTATCAAAACCCAATTTAATTCTAATCGCCTCCATCCTTTGAGTCCCTAATTTTGTCTCCATAAGAAAAAAATAAAAGGTTTTTTTGATTGGACTATGTCCAATAACACCTGAACTGTCTCCGGATTGCCAAGTCCGCGACAGTTCCAAGATATAAGACACATTATGATAGGCGGGCCTGCGTAGCAGGTCCCGCCTATGACAAGTTTTTTGAAAGGTCCACAACCATATTCTCCATATTCGATCCAACCCCAGTAGAGTCCACTGGCCCATCAATTTCCTTCCTTTTCCTTTGTTGTTCATGGGCTGAAATAAATGGGCTTACTGAAGATGGCTCATCTCCTCCAATGTTTTCTGTCCGTTGAAGAAGAGATCAAACTGATTTAGGGTCCCCATGTGGCTGAAAAAGGGGATCGATGCTTGGCCCGTTGGGTAAAGCTTCAGACTCATGCATTAAATGTTCTTCATGCATGTCGACATCCTACTCAGAATCGCCATTAATGACTTCCTCAGATGACATTCGTAATGTTTCCTTATTCAATGATATATTATGCTTCTGACCATCTGCACCGCTATCCAAAGTACTGTCAACTTCTTTATCAGTACATTTTCGAGGCCGCTCTAACACGACCCATCGCTGTCCCATCGCTGGCGGTGGCCTCCTCCCATTAGCTCTCAGATCCGGTCCGAACAGTCTCTCCGGTGGTGGTGATTCAATCGATCTCCGGCAGTATTTGTCTGCATGGCCTATAATGCCGCATATGAAGCAGAAGGTAGGTAGCCTTTCATACTTGAAATCTACCCATGTAGCTTCACTTCTGGGGGGTTTCACCTTCATTCTTCTTCGTAGAGGACGTGTGATGTCAATACCCACTTGAATGCGAATGAAGGCTCTCCAAGTCCCGTCCATTTGAGTCGAGTTTGTCTTCTTGTATGACCCTAAGAACGCTCCAATAGTTTGAGCCGTCCTCTGAGTTTGGAGACTGTGAGGAACGTTGTATGCCTGGACCCAGAAATCCGTGTGCTCCAGCTTTGCCTCAAAAGGGGATTTGTTATCGTCCAGTTTGTTCAACACCAGTAAGCTCTGTTCATACGACCATGGGCCATCGTCAAGCACCGGGTTCATATCGACCTCACAGAAGAAATGAAAGAGATAGAGATTGGTAGTAACTTCCGTCGTCATCACGCCTTTCACCAGTCTCCACACCATGGCCATAGTATCTCTGAAGTAGGTAAACTTGACCGGTTTTTTGGTTAAGAGCCTTCTAACCAGCGTAAACGCCGGATCTTCAAATTCGTCTGATAGTCCTTCCTCCTCAAGAGGTACTTCATAGTCCTCATCGTCTTGAAGAGATAGGTTAGCATACTGTTCCTCAAGATCAGGAGATCTCCTACTGCTTGAGGCCATGAACAAAGATGAAAAAGGCGAGAGGGCTAGATGCAAGATAGAGGATTCCAAGAAGGACCCAGAGTTAAGAGGGAAAAAATCAAAGCAGATTGGGGGTGATGAAAGTTAAAACTCCGAGGTTGTTGGAGGTAGGTAAAGACGAGTAAATATAATCAAAAAGATATGAAGGACAAGACTGCATTCAATATAGGAAAAAGGAGATGTAAATACAGACGGAAGAAAAAAGCCACACTATGTGAGGGATTACATACTCGTCATGAAAACGAGAGGGAGAAAGCTCGTCATGCATAAACGAGAGAGAATCTTGTCAAAGTTGTGAGGTGTCAAGCTTTGACTACCCCCCATTCATCTTCTTCACCATATATACATACATAGTAGGAACAAACACTGTTCCATTCCCAATATGAAGGTACGTACTTTAATTTACGTTTTCTATTTAATTTAAAATTGAATGTTAGATTCCTATATTTAATAAAATTGATGTAAATATAAATAAAACAACGGGAATAAGACAAATTGAGCTTAAAATTAGTAATAAAGATAAGGGAATAAGAAAATACTTAAGAAGTTGGAAGCTATCTCACATTCTTTACCAAAAACTTTATATTGACTTTATCATTTGATGCAGAACCGATGCGAGAGAAAGAAGCAGGGATTGAAGGGTACGATTGGAGGGGTTGGGTAAGTACCCCCCTTCCCCCTTGAAAGAAGTGAAAATAAGTCGTCCACAACGAAATTTTTACTAAGTTTATTGAAACGAAGATGACGGAACACCACCTAATAAACAAATCACTGATAGTAACAGGTGCTCAAAATTCCATACCCTAGCTACCATCTTTCCCCTGTAGCTGCCTGGGCAAACCACGGCTGCTACTATGTACGGACCTTCCCATTTTGCGGCAAATTTTCCCCAGCCTGGGGTTTGCTGGCCTCTCTTCTCCTCAGCACATAGTCACCCATATAAAAGTAACGGGGTCGGACCCGTATATCATGGTAGGCCTTAGCTTGACGTTGGTAATTCTCAGCTCGGATCTGGCGACCTTCCTTTTCTCATCTACCAGGTAGAGGTCCGCTCGGTGGTGCTCTTCGTTGGTGTCGTATTCTTCTGCTTAGCGGGAGGGTATGACGACCTCTGCGGGGCTCGGGCTTCGAAACCCTAAGTTTACAAGAAGGGTGTTTTGCCCGTAGCCCTCTAAGAGGGGTGGTGCAATAGGCCCAAAGGATGACATCCAACTCCTCCACCCATGCCTCGCCTGCTAACCCCATAGGTAGGGCTCCCACTGTGTCCTCCCCACACCTTGAAAAGGTGATCACCGAGGTGATAGGGGTGTAATTCGTGGCGGGCCGACCCGGGGCGATTTGAAATTATTGGTATGTCTTGCAGCTCCTAACATAGTCAACATACTCCTTAGCCATGTTAGGCCAGAAGCACCCCTGTAGAATGGCTCAAGCCTCCATGGTGGGCTGAGTAGGTCCGTTCGTGTATCTCCTTGATGACAGATTTTGATTCGTCGAGATATATGCATCGCAGTAAGGTGCCGTTATAGGACCTCTTGTAGAGTGTATAAGGGGGGAAGCAGCACGTAATAGGTTCTCCCATTAGGTAGTGAGCGGGGACGTCCCCCTATATTACTGTTAGGGAATACCAAGGTTAGGGCTGACGCACACAACCGCGACCATGGGTTGATAGCTAGGCGAGGTCGGACTTCACAAATTTTACTAGGGAGAACATATGTCATTGTTTGGGGTAAACACCCCCCCCCCCCCCCCTTTTACCTTTGAAAAAATAGAATAGCTTCGGGCTTCCGGGGTGGGACAGCCAGGCGCACCTTTTCTCTCTTGGGGTGCGCGACCCACACCTAGTTCTTCAAATCTTTCATCCTCCTTCCAATGATTCGTTGAAGGGTCCCAGGCCTCATGATTGAGCTCAGGTTCTCACGTATTTAGAGGAATAATATGTTAGCTGTGGCCCAAGCCCCTCGGGGGGCCTAAACCCATTTCTAAGGCCTCCAGGACCCCTTAGTCCACTCGAATTATGCATGTTGTCCATGGTGGCCGTGCATGGGCTCATTGCGCTCATGGCGGTTAAGCTCGGACTCCTCGTCCTTGTGGTGGCCAAGATAAGGCTCTCTACATCCGCGGTGGCCGAGCTCTAACTCCTTACACTCGTAGAGGGTAGTTCTCTAACATCTTGCTTGGTCCCGAAGGGGTCGGGGTGAGGGTCGTCCACCCTTGCACGACCCGATGTGGTGGCCTGGGGCCAAGTGGAGGGGGCTGCATTATTCCTTAGAACCCCTCCATGAGGCGGTTTGGCAAGGTCGCTGCTTTTTAGATGGCGGGTCAACAAGGTGGTAGCTTGTTGGATAGCGGCTAACCCCTCCTGGAAGACTGGGTTCGGAGGAGGGTGGGAGCCGGCTCGCCGTTGCGATTGTTGGTGAGGCATTCCCTCAGGTTCCTTGCCGACCTCACAAAGACGGTTTGTTGATGGCTAGCGGTCTCGTTGAGACCGTTCCCGATTAGGGTGACCCGGGTCTCACGAGAACCGTTCTTATTGCGAGAGTTGGATCTCGACCTTGTTATAGTTGGGGGAAAAATAGCACGCTCGAGCCTGACGTCAAGCTTTCAATGAAAACACCAATGATGGATTTAATTAGCATGAGTGGACCATATCAATAAACCCAAAAAAATAAAGGAAATAGGAAATGGATAGGTAAAATAGGCAAAACAAGTGATATGGGGTCACGAATACAAATATTGTATTGATAATGGAGTTGTCAAGCTATTACCATGGTGGTGTAATGCTATTACAAGAATAGTTTAGGACAAGAATCTAGAATGTATCTTAATGAGAGAAAAGGGAGACTTTTTATACATAACGCACCCCTTAACTGCCCCCCTAATCCCGTGGGAGTAGTTACAACCCCTCTTGACTGATTCGGTCCCGAGATCGGAGCCGCAGCTTGACCGACCGAAGCCTCGTGGCCGAGGCCTTGCCCTAGGGCAGTCTGGGTCAAGGGGCTCGACCTTGGGGCCCCGGGTCCGCTTGAGTCCTCCTTGCTTCGTCTTCCCGGATCGGTTTGCTCTAATTTTTAATATATCCATCAAGTAGCATGCCAATCAATAACAAATAAGGGAGATCTCATTGGCATATTTACATGTTCTGCCGAATAAACATGCAATCATATGCAAACACACAAGGGGGCAATAACTTATTGAGTAATATGTAAGGGTTTACGAAAAATACATATCATTCTCTGATGGTAATCCACTGAAATGAGAGTTTGGCTATTCAATTCTCTTTCCTACTACTCATTTGTCCACCGTTGCGCAACTGTTTCAAAAAACCATTCGTAACGAAGATATCATATTGCAGTTGGAACCGTGATTAAGTTCACCATTTTGCATATTGATTCTTAGTGGTAGGCATGACCGAACATTCACAAGTTATGCCTTTAAATGAACAACTTAGACTAAAATGGGTTAGAAAATTCCAACCATGAAAGTCATTGAATTCGTTCAGTCGCGTATGAAAATTTGTGAGGATCGTGTGATGGTTTAGGACATTAGTTGTGACCAAAAAAAAAAAATAATAATAATAATAATAACACAGTTCGGGAAGACACTTCTCGTATTGAGAAAAAACCTTAATTCACTATTAGTACAATTTCAAATGACAGAGTTGGAAACACCTTTACACAGTAGAATCTAGAAGTTTAGAACACTCGTGTTGATAATTTGTTGAAAATCAAAACGTTATCTCGTGTGAATCTTATGAAATTGTACACTCAAACCAATATAGAGGAGAAAAGAGGAGAGGAGCAAAATTGAACGCATAACATTAGCCACCATTTTTTTTTTCATTAATAATTGTTTGTATATATACACACCGGATAACTGTACACAAACAACATAGAAGTAAAAGAGAGTGGGATAATGGCCACATACTAAAATAAATATTTATAAAAAATAAGACATTATACATTTTTTAAAATTTAATTTGCATGAAATGTTATTCCGAAAACATTATAGTACACAAACAAACAACATTAGAGTCATGTTTGGTAATATAATTAGCCTATTAGTTAATTTTAGCTCATTTGATCACTATTAGCTGTTTGATTTGATTAAATAATCAATATGAGTGTTTAATTAATTAACTTTTTGTAACAATTTTTTGCTCTAAAATACTAAAATTCAAAAAGCTACTCAATGTAGCTTTGTCGATTAGCTTTTTGAGAAAGTCATTTGTATGTAATCAGCTAACAAGCTAATTTACCGAACACTTTTTTACAATTAGCTAATACTATCAACTAATTATATCCACTAACTCAAATCAACTAATAGCCATTTACCAAACACCCCTATATAATTTTTGTTTGCTTGTTTGTTAACTTTGTTTGCATGAAAAGTTATTCCAAAGGCTTATACCCACACGTTTAGCTTATTTAATACGATGGAGCAAATGATTTTTAGTTTAAGTAAAAGTTTGAAGTTTTCTTGACTCTGTTACAATATAGTATTTGTTCATATATACTTTCTCATCGCACAAAGAGTCATTGCACCTACTGGAATTTGAACCTGCAATCTCCCATTTAAAAGCGCCACAATTATGCCGCTTCACCACAAAGTCTTTATTAAGTAAAAGTTTGAACTTAATACCGTTCCAAACACGAATAAATAAATAAATAAATATGCAATCTTACTACAATGAAGAATGAACTCCACCAGCAGCAGCAATATAATTCAACTGTCTAATAGTACTTAACTGATTGTCTTTGTGTTTTGACTAACACTGTATTCTAAATGCTATCATTTCTGACCATCGCTAAACTTTCTTTTAAAACCTCAGCATTACAAAACCTTCAAGATATCACAACGATACAAACAAACAGCAAATGGCCACAGATTTCCGTTCAGTACTCGCAGTTCAATTTTTCTCAGATTGTTTACCACCACCAGGAAGACAGAGACTTGCAAAATGGATTGATCATATATACATACATTCCCAACTGCTATAGTTAAAATGTGGATTTAACTTCCGGCAGCCTTCAGGAAATTGTCGAATGGACTTGCAGCTGGCAGCACAAAGTAGCCGGGATGTTGCTGGAGTTCGGCTGCACATGTCATTGGAGCAGTGTCGATTGATTGCAGCAAGGAAGCAGTGTCAGAGAATGGATTGCTTTTTGCCTGTCCAGTCAAGAATTTCAGAATGCATCTCTAAACATAGATGTAGTAGTCTATGCTAACAAATAAGCCTCACAGTAGTCTTGGGCGGAGGCTGGTAAAAGCCAAGTCTAGCACCTGGTGGGTGGGGTTGTTGAACGGAGGTCGGTAAAGGGCTTAAAAGCCAATTTCAGGACCCAGAGTCTCAAAAATGTGTGGCGGCATAAGGAAATAATTTGCACCTTCGCTACTAGGTATAGCTTTTGGAGGAGTGGTAAGAGTTTGTTCTAACAAGTGGTATTAGAGCCAGGTATGTACTAATGTTTCAATTTGTGGCATGTTTATTTTATAGCGTCTCTACGTAACGTAGCTCTGCTGAAACTATAATGGGAGTATGTATGTTGCATTGATAATTTGATACTTACTACTTCAGGGTGATGATCAAGAAGGGAGTGCGATTCTACAACGAAGTCCCGGTCGTTAAAGAACACTGCATTTTCTTGAATCTTCAGGGAACTCATAAAATGCATCTTTTTCTGCTTTCCCACTTGAAGGGTTTCACACTGGTTAGCCATATCTTTGAATGTCATGCCAGAAGGAGTTGAGACAGACTCCGTTCCAGCATTTGTAGTCTCCGATATCTGCAGGAGGAGTTCACTTGTAAGATTAGAGAAGAGGATCTGAAGCTTAGCAACTTATGTTTTAGTTTTAGAAAGGATTCCTATATGCCACATTCTCCACTGCATTTTTTAGCCTTTAGCTTATGTTTCATTCTTGTCGCAAAATGTCTGGAACTACTTCATAAGTGCTCTTCGGAAATACAAGAAACAAACATGGAAACTACTATAACTTATATACAATATGCTTCATGGAACCCAAACCAGGAGAACTGAAGAAAAATCCATGGCCCAACAACTCTTCTACACATGGTTTGCACAAGACAAGTAGGAAATAAAACCTACCGAATCCATAAACTGATTGATGTCCAGGAGGCTAGGATTTTGTAAGTTTGAATCTGCCTGACTCGCAAATCCGTCCATCTTAAAGCTGTTACCTGCTGCAAAGATCGGATCTAAAGCCTGCACACAATCATGATACATTTACAATAAGAAATTCTAACAAGGAAATGAGAGAGAGAACGGGAAACATTTGTTTCCTATTACCTCATCTAGAGCTTTGGATTCAGTTGACCCGAATTGGTAGATTTGGCCTGGTATTTCACTGAGTAGTAGAGTACCAAAAGGACAAACATCATCTGGAAGAAAATCTCGAAGCAACTGCTCCTTTATAAGATTTGTCTTATCCTGAAAATGTTTCAAAAAGTTAGCCATACATAGTTTTTATGTAAGCAAATCATGTTTTGAAGCATGTGAGGCAAGAAAACATACAGTTAGTGACTTTTTCAAGCTTTCTACTATCATTGATGCAAAAGATTCTGCAGATAATTTCTTAGATTTCTCTACTGCTGACAGTGATTTCAGGGCATCATTATCGTCCTCTGGTGATCCATAAACTCTCTTGGGATCTGATATGGTAACTGCCTGCAGTTTGGAATCATCCACCAACTGAAGAAAAGGATCTGCCTGTTTGTGATCATGAATGTAAAATGAAAAATATTAATAGTTAGCAAAGAGTCTTTCATTCAACAAGTTGCTAACTTGTTAATAATTGACTTAAGAGATCCTGCCAACTAAAAGATTAAGCTATTAGAGTGGAGAGACATTTATTAACTATACTCATTAACATGCCTTTTTGCATGTGGAATCTCAAATTCATTTTCATGGACAAAACAAATGGCAACTGAAATGAGAGGTAATGCATAGGATATTGTTATAATCTAAAGTTGGGCCATGGCAACTGAAATGAGAGGTAATGCATAGGATATTGTTATAATCTAAAGTTGGGCCAATGTCACTCAACTGGGCTATAATGCACATGGGTCAAACCACACTAAAATACTGAAAGCTTGGATGCTACCAATACCACAGGTAGACAACCGAGTGGATCAAACAAGCTCTGATACCATGTTGTAATCTAAGGTTAGGCGAAGGTCGCTCAATTGGGATATAATACACATGGGTCAAACCACACTGAAAGACTGAATCCAATCAATTAGCTAGTATAACCCATGGCCTTATAAACCCATATGTTCTCTCTTATATTTTCAATGTTGGACTCTTAAAAGATATGAACCTGGGACCTAATCTTGTTGTGTTCCACCCAACTAAAATGTTAAGCCCTTCAAGAGACGAGACATTTATTACTTATAAATTATACTCGACTAAAATAATAAATATGCATGCTCACTAACATCTTAAGTTTTGAATAGTGATGCTTAATTAAATTTCATGAACATAACTGCAGTGATGTTTTCACTTACTGTTTTCTCTGTCAATGCAGCCTTAGCAGAAACAACAAGAGGGTCAAATTTGTATGCCTTGGCCAAAAAGATTATCATAGCCATTGATAAGGTAAAGAGTGATCTGCGCCGTGAAGGTGGCAACTGTCCTACAAACATCAAAACTATGATTTCAAGAAAACGCAGATAATTTGGAGGATGTTTAACTAGCTAGGTAAGTGTATCAAAAAGAAATTCATGGCAACCCAAACTGAAATACCTCCTCCCTGAAGAGAAATGTTCCTCAATGAGAAACCAAGCTGGAAACTACGAATAAGGACCTCATCACTGGAATTCTGTATTAATTGGAAGCAGCACACTGTCAAGTGACAAATCAATATGAAGGTTGCTCTTATCATGGCAACATCTGCTTACCTTTGGTCAAAGTTGAAAATTTCTCATAATAATAGTGGGGTGCTATTTTAATTTAAAAGGGGCTATTGTTCTATATCTTTGGAACTGTCCAAGGTAGCACTATGCAGCCATAATTTTTTAGGAGCACTATGACTAAGAGAAACTGTGAAAGAGAAATAATATCTACTTCTCTAGCTGACCATAATCCCAATCCCCATTAAGAAAAAAGCAGTAAATAGAAAGGGTAAAATAACTATGAGGCCTTTCACCAAAAAAAAAAAAAAAAAAAAAAAAAAAAAACTATGAGGCCATGCATGAGGAAATTCATATTTGTATCTGTATTCCTTTACTGGGATGAGTATCACACCTTGTTTTGTGAAAACAGCATTACCAAGCTGTAAGTATGAGCAATTGCTTCATAATTTTCAGGTGTGCTTGAAGGAGAGATGGCCTGCACCCATATGGAAGAAAGCAATATGCTAATTTGTCGTGTTTTCAACTTGAGAGAAATGCCCACCTACATAAGATAAACAGTGTCATCATTTTGAACTACAAAGAAATCATCTTCTTTAATGCACCATTCTTTTGAAGAAACGTGCTGAAATTATAAGACAAACCGGTTCCCTGTCTACAATGCTCATTCCTTGTTCTTCATTAATTTCAGGCAAGGGATTTCTTTTAACAGAATAAGATCGACTATAGCTTGATTTTAACCGGTTCAACATCGATTGGTTACTGACATTTGCACTCTCATCCTGTAAAACATTTTCCTTTCTTTCCATACTTTCTTGTACTGACCGTTGCTCCTTAACCAATTTTTCAAATAAAGCAGCTGAAGAAGAAAATACTGAAACATTTCTGGATAGAGCTCTTTGAAAGTCAACAGTCTTTGCTGAGTGCAGATTACTGGAAGGACAAGGACAAACAGATGATGGAACAAGTACAACAGCAAATATGCGATGTGCCCCAATCCTGGTCACATGGTCTGGCGAAACCATGGATAAAATAATTTGATGGAATAAAGCCTCAGGGAAAGCCTGAAAAAGGATACTTAAATCAGAAAGTTGGAAGTATCAATATCACAAAACCAAATGAGGGTAACAAAAAGAGAAAGAAAAAACTTACCTTGTTTTGATATGACAAATTCGGTAAGGATGCTGCTATCTGAGCAGTACGGTATACGGTAGTAATTGTGTTTCTGGCCATAACTGGTATATTTGAGATGCTTTCCAACATCACTGCCATAGCATCATGAATTTGGCCAGCATCCCCAACCTGTCTTGCACAAGACATTTTAGGTTAGAAGTTAAGAATTCTTTTTCCCTTTTTTCTTTTACTATTAATATTATTATTCTTAGTAAGTGGAACAGAGGGTTGTCCTTATAAAACAAAGTGTAAGGAAATCTCAGTAAACTCAATCATCAAAACTAATGATCTTTATACAAAAAGCATCAAGTATCACTCAACCATAAACAAGTTCAAGCTTTTGACGGCATAAAAAATGGCAAAAATAAGTTTTAAGAAAGAATGAATGATAACAATTTCACCTTGAGAGACATCTGGACAAGGCATTCATCAACTACTGTACGATATTTTCTGTTCCATTGAATTACTTCTTCCCCCAGGTCTGAGTCATCTAGGGAACAGTGTATGCTTTTCCGGAGGTGTCTCATCATATCACTAAATGCACCCATAACTGTAGCAGATGGTTGTACCTTTGTGTGCTGAGTAAGAGAGGTGGCAACTTCAACAATATCTACCTGCATATTAGGGTTTTTGATGACATTCTTGTGATCAAGGTGCTTGATTAATGTAGACAACAAAAAATGTGTGTTATGTCCTGCATTTTAAGAAAAGAATAACTAAGTCTGAGGCATAAGAGAAGTATGGCAATGGATAGTATGTATTAACAAAAACTTATAAGATCAAGACCAGAGGAAAGCACCAGAATTCTCCATAATAAATTGCATATCCAGCAAAACAGAAAGGGCTACTCCATGTTGAGTCGACCAAACATCGCTATTATCAAAATAACAGAATAAAGAATCTAAAACACGCCGCACAGTTGTTCCTTCCTTTGCTAACTTTGCCATGTTATGTAAGCACACCTTGGACCAAAACTTTGGGTTTGTAGAATCTTCTCTGCTCATAAAAAGATAATTAGAGATGATATGATCAATAGCTCAAGAAAAATTACTAATGTCTAAATGACAATGGCAAGAGGAATTACGTAGCCACATTAAGGCCTTTTTCAGTCACAATATTCCGCCAAGAAGTAACTCGTGTCATTTGATCAGAAACATCGGCACCCATTTTATCTTGGTCGTTGAGTTTCTCATCATGGGTTTCATAGTTTTCCAAGACAACGGAAACAACCTGATAATATAAAATTAATGACAGGAAATTTCAACCAATAGAGTAACTAAACACAATTATGAAAGGATAGAAATAATGATGGGATATAATGGAAAAAAGGAACTATGTGTTGGAAAGTCCTCTTAATTGAACTGTGTGCTGATTCCTTGTGTTTAGGCATTTGATGTGTGCTGTTATTATATTCACTGATTTTAGAGATTTAATTCTAGGTTATTTTGGTTAGGAGCTTATTCCCTGATTTCATTCTCTGATTTTATCTCTTAGTTTAGATACTCCAGCTGTATATATATATATATATATATATATATATATATATATATATATATATAGGCATGTGTAAACAATGAGAAATATAGAAATGCATGTTTTTGAGCACTGTGAGAATGAAGTTGCACTTAAGCATCACTTAAAATGAATTATCACTTTATCTTCATGGAAAATGATATCTATTGAAATAAAGAGTTAATTACACTTCTAATCTTTGGCGTATAGTGGACTATGGATTAAACTTTTAACTATTGCATACAATTAAGTTTAACTTCAAGACTTGGTAGAAAAATTTCACACAAGGACAATGTAAAAAATACAAGTACAAATAAAAATTAAAACAAAGAAATATAACATATCAGATGTAAAAGCAAAATAACAAAATTTTTAAAAATAAAGATGTTCCATAGCTTTGACACAAGCAAAATTCCAGATCAATTCTTTTTCACCGTCCATAGAGAGACTTTCTCAGTGTAATTTTCAATAGAATAATCCCACATAAAATTTCTCTAGAATCAGTAGAAGCATTCGTACTCCTACCGATTAGAATAGGCATGGATTTATAATACCATGTAATAATAACAATCTAAGATTGGACCAAGGTCATCAATTGGGCTATTTAATGCACATTGGCCAAACCACACTAAATGATTGAACCCAATCAAGTCTAGTACTTCTTAGTCAACTTAATATAAAATACAATAATAGAAACAAATTTCAGATTAATGAGAACCAATTGAAGTATGATATAAGCTAACAAACTCTTCCTTTGAACTAGTTCGAGTGAATGCATTTGTAAAGGACCACAAAGCCTAAGCTGGTTCAGGCATAAAATGAAAAACTAAGAATAGCAATTCAGGTAAGATGCATGTTGTAATCTAATAAGTAGTGAAGATGTAAATAACCAAGCTTGACTTACATTGTCAAACTCCGCTGGCATGTGACCAAATTCACCCATGAACCAAACCTGTAACAATTATATAAAGTTAAAAGGAAGTTATGATAAACTAATAATTGCTTGATATATCTTTATCTCGGATTTGTTCAAACTGGGTGAATGATAATTTTCACTATACTTTGCATCAAACAGAGCAAGTAATACTGAAAGGATATGATAGGTAAACAAACTTAGGAACAAATAAGAATATTAACCTGGTGAACTTTGGATAACAATGAAACCAAATATATTTCAGAATTGCATTATATTTCAAGGGAAGGATATGTACTGTAAGTATAACATGATTCACAGACCAAGCAATTAATAATCCTTGTTGTTAGTTAAATATGTGTATAGTTTTTCTTTTCTTGAGGAGGTATTGAGCTGATTTTGGCTACAATGAGTGTGAATACAAATATGGGTGCTTGTGCAATTAAAAGTTAAGATACTGAGAAAATAGAATAGAGGCTGAAAACTATTTTCAGCAACTATAGGATGCTTTTAAAAGAGGAAAAGATCCCACTTAGAAAGATCTAATTAAAACATATATATACTTAAGATCATGGTTGCAAAAATTGCGCCTAGGAGGCCGCCGCGAGGAATGGCCTCGGCGGCCTCCTACGCGGCCGGCCGCCTAGACCGCCTAACCGGCCGGTTCGGCGGTTCGGCCATTTTTTTTAACTTTTTTTTTGGAAAATGTCGGAAAAGTTTCGGAAGGCATAACTTTTGCCTCGGTTGTCCGATTTGGACAATTTTTTTTTCAAATCGTGTATTTTTTCGAGATCTATCCACCGCAAACGCCAAAGGCGGTTTGGTCCACTAATTTCTCAAAAAAAAATGCTTCTTTAGCTCTTAATTTTAGTTTTTTATGTATTTAGATGGTTTAAACAATCTTTTGAACAATTTTACAACCACTTTTGTAAATAGTTTCTAAGAAATAACTATGAAAACCTTATGTTTTAATACTAAATTTTAAAAATTTTTAATTTTAAAATTTTTTTTAATTAAAAATAAAATTAAAAAATAAAATAAAAAATCGGCGCCTAGGGGGCGCCTAGCGTGTTTTGCAACATTGTTTAAGATTCATTTTAGAAGTGCAGAAACAGAGCTACAACATTACAACTATAGGTTATTTTCCTTCCAAATCTTATTGAAAGTGTTCATTACTGCACAGCAATTTTACTACTCACATACATTTTCAACTTTCAAGAATGATATATCTGGTAGAGTGAATTCCATTTTTGGTCCTATTGTTATAGGGGCTTTTCCAATTTTATTCCATCATAATTATTTTTGTCACATTGCATCCACTATTATTAAAAGTGTTCCAATTTTAGTCCACTTTAAGATTTTTCGTGGACTAAAATTGGAACACTTTTAATAATAGTGGACGCAATATGGCAAAAATAATTATGGTGGACTAAAATTGGAATGACCCCTATAATAGTAGGACCAAAAATGGAATTCACTCTATCTGGTACATTCAGATAGAGATAAAAGATAGAATTTATCAACACTTTCTTTCCTGGAAACAATATGATACTGATACTATGTGCTAGGTATTATGCTGAAATTTTATGCTTAGTTCTAAAATTAGCATGGCAAAAGCTGTGACCTAGTCGCATGGAAAACAAATGTCATGGGCTGGCACAGAAAGAAGATGTAAAACATTATAAAAGAATAACAACAGGCATAGACAGTAAATATTTCCAAAAGACAGGAGAATGTTTTTAAGAAGCTTACCATAGAAGAGAGAGCTTCAAGCCCAGCACAACGTAATTTCAGTACTCTTTCCTCATCTCCCATCTCTTGAGGAAGAAGACAGATTTTTGGTATTAAGCCTTCTAAGTTAAACATGTATGTGGCATCAAGCTATACAGTACAGAAGATAGTGCATGAGATCTATTGATTTTTAGAAAATTTGTTAGTTCTTTCAGTGGTGATTAACATAGTGACAAAATGAACCAGTAACTACCTGATTATTTATGAAGTCAAACAGTGATTCACATCCAACAATGCGCATTTCATCATGTGCCATTTGATCCAGCAAGATTTGAACAATACTAAGAAAACTTCCTGCAAACAATGGCCTGTCATACAGTACTTAATAGTCATCAGCACAGTTTGTATAAAGAATCAGTTCAAAAGATATCCTTTTAAGACATTCAATAGTTTTAAGAGTCATAGAAAATTATTATAGCATCTCAAGTGAATTACTCAAATTTACACACACCACAAAGAGGACAAAGATTTTGACTCAGGTCAGTTTTCATTTCCTTTGTGTTAGTACCCTTAACACAGAAGGGCTTGCCTCCTTTGTGGAAGGGGAATAACCGAATAAGGCCGCAGAATATTGCCAATTTGCTTCACAACAAGAAAGCGAAACAGAAGTGTTGCAAGTCTGTAACATAATCCAGAGGTTTTTGGCTGCTCCATAAACATATAGAGAAAGATAATGAATAATGATCTTGCAAGAGTGCTTAGTTATCAATATTAATCTTATCATTTTTTTAATCTTTCCAAGTATTTTGACATGATGTAGAAACTCCAAATATAGAATACAGCATATTGAAATACATGATCCAACTCAACTAAAAACTTAAACTATTAGTGAGGGTACACATATTATTTTTTATATTTATTCTCCACACGCCCAGATGCCCCTCTCATGTGTAGGTCAAATATTTTTTGACAGTTCAAACATGTGAAAATATTTTGATGATGGGTATCACAAGGAATTTGAACCCAGGACCTCTTGCCTACTCTAGTACCTTATCAATGTGTGTTCCACCTCAACTAAAAGTTTAAGTTGTTAGTGAGAATACACAATTATTATTTTATATTTATCCCCAACAGAGTCAATAATGTTTCTATATGCAAATTAAATGATTTCTCTTGACTTCCTCAATATCTTTCATCTTTTCAGGGTCTTGGTTAGCTGCTTAACAACATCAATTATATCAATTATATTAATTATAAAAGAGACTCTTGAAAGTGATAGCATATGATACATCTGGACTGAATATCAAATAAGGTAATTTGTAATCATAAAATAATCTAGTTATCGACAGAAAGACCAAAGATTAAAGTAGCTAAGACAGAACTTATAGGTAAATGTAACTACAAGCCATTAGTATCCTTCTAACTCCCATCAACAACAACAGCAAAAAAAAAAAAAAACAAAACAAAACAAAAACAAAAAAAAAAAACAAAAAACAAAAAAAACAAAAAAAAAGAGAGAAGGGAAATGAAATAAAAATCACAATTTGTACTAAAAATTGAAAGTCCTCATTGAGATCGGCTTTCATTCTTAAATAATTTAATAAGATCAGAAAATGAACTCACATTTGCTGCTTGCAAGATACTAGCAATCTCCGGTATACTAACATGACAATCTTTACAGACAAAAGATTCTGCTTTCTTAATTCCTTGTAGAACCTTTGCTCGAGAGAAGTTGTGATCTGTTCATTAGATTGAGTAAATTTTGATTAAAATTCTACTATTGGGCAAAAATAAGGCATATCAAGGCCATCTCAGTGCATAGTGTGCAAAATGAAGTTCTATAACATCCATCTTCAGCTGGATGAGACTTGCACACGTCATTCTTTTACATGTGGATGCTATCAAGATGCCAACAACTCCAAATAAAGCAGCTACGCCATCATCAAACTTCAAGTATATAATCTTAGCCTAACCTTAGGTATACGGAGTGGATTCTTTGAAGCATATTCACACAATTTTCCAATCATTCGCTCATTGGGTTCCCTACCCTGTGAAAAGTAAGAAATAATCAGTAATAGAACAGCCAAGAATAACTCTTAACATGTCACTCTATATATTCTGGATCGAAAGCATTTAGATATACAGCAAACAACTTTTTCCTGCATTGAAACAGAAATAGAAATCTATAACAAAACAATACAGAGGACAACAACTAGTAACATTAATGTGAATTTCAAGATCATATTGGGTTAGTAGCCAACATCAGGTTACTAATTATCACCTCTTGGAAAGCATAGTAATGAGTGCTAAACAAACATAATCAGGTCTTTTTTGTTATGTCAAAGAAGGTTTCCTGCAAGCGTTGAGCGATCCCACTTTGTAATGGCAAACATAGGTTTCTGCCCTTCTACAAATTGAATATTTTAGCTGCTATCATAATAAAATATTCTCCTTAAAGTATCTGCTTGTTTTGAAGTCAGTTTTGTACTTTAGTGTAGTTGATAAAGAGAATTCAGAATCTTTAGTCAATAAACTTTTCTACTGGTTTGTCCAACAACTTGACTTGACACATTGAACACCCATTTCTCGAAGGAGCGTATCTCAGGAAGTAAAAATAGAAACTGAACTGATCCAAACAAAAGCACCAAAAAGCATATCAATCCATAAATGAAGTTACTACTCTGTGTATAGTCTTCAAGCTTAAGTACGGGTAAAAGATTCTGCTAAACAGCTTAAGTTTCTTCGAGGGTTCAGGAATCAAGAGAACTTGTTCTTACAGAAATCCCCATGGTCCTTTCAGACTTTGATGCATTCACTGTTTCAACATGAAATTTACACTCAACGAATTTCTTCATCCTCAGAAAATCTAAAGTTGAATTGCTCTACCCCAAGCAATTTATCACCACCACCATTACTGATAAATGATTCGTTTAGGTGAAACAAAATATTCAAGGGAATAAGCTTAACAGGATTCTATAAAAAGAACAAAAAACATAACGAATTACGAATGAAAGAAGAAATCTGAAAATTGAGAGAAATGAATAGGGAGACTAACCGGAGGTCGGGGAAAGATATCGGAAAGCATCTTCTTGTAACGCTTCACAGGCTGCCGAGACCTGGGCCGCATTCCCGGGCAACAAATGCAGAGCTGATCACACGCCGGCATTACCCTATTAGACATCATACCCATCCTTCGATGCAAAAATATATATAATATTCTCAGGACAGGTGATGATGAACAACGAAAGGTAAACGGAAAATTGGGAATGCGACGGCCCGGAGGAGAGAGGAAGATCGGAGAATTGTGAATGCCGATCTCCCGACTTTCCTCAAGGAAGGCTGAGAACGATGGAGAGAGAAAGAAAAGAAAAAAAAAAAAAAAAAAAGGAGAGAGAGAGATTATGGTTGAATTTGGTATTTAAACGAGAGGTTTTTCCGGATTTGCATGGTGACACGTTTCGCTGTCGTCAAAGCATGTCCGCTTCAACAATTTGAAATACAAACGGCCATGGCCAAATTATTATTTTAGCCCCGATCCAAAACGATGTCCTTATGAGTTAGAAATAATATACATTATAAATTATAAATTAGAATATTGTATTTATATGTTAAAATAATATATATTATATGATATAACAATGTATTTTATTTGTTAAAATAATGAAATTTTTGAGATAAGATAATGTACTTTATGAGTTTGAATAATATATATTATACTTTATATTAGAATAATATATATTATGAAATTATAAAAATATATATTTTAGCAAGCTACGTAAAAAATATTTAAAACGAACGATGTTATTTTTAAATCGTGATCACGGTTTACGCAATAACTATTGACTGCGGTGTTGGTGGGATTCAATTTTATATTTTTCGAATTAAACGTTTAAAAAATCTCATCAATGATTGCAGGCCAGGCCAGCCAAAACTTTATTGGGATTTTACAATTGGCGTCATGATTAGTAGCTTGCCTTGCCTGACAGCTTTCAATCCCCAAAACAATTCCAATTTCCAATTAAGTTTACATGCGTGATGTGTGATAAAAAAATTATTGGAAAATATGCAGGCCCAAAATACAACCGTAGGAATTTAAGGAGTCATATCATAGAAATTGAGACAAATTATATCGTGCATCAGGGCACACAATATATTGTACATTCTAGTTCAAAACGACATTATTTTGTATTTATTTTTTTTAGAAATTTCATTTTCCGTGATAAAGTGTTGAACGTGAAATTTGCATTATCATGATTGAGACCTTGAAGGAATCAGATGACACGATTGTGTCTCATTCCTTTTTTATCTCTTTAACAAGAGCATCTTGGATCACACTTACAAATTGGCAGAGGACGCAAAGTACTCATCTCCTCCCATAAGGTTTTGCACTTTGTATAATAGTCATTGATAGAGAGATTATTCTGTTTGAGACCGTAGATCTCGTTCTGTAGAGAAATTTCCTGAGCATCACATTGCGAGAATATTTTCTTGAGATCATCCCACACATCCTTCGCTCTATCCAGGTGCATGATGCTGCCAACTATGGAGGGATGAACTAACCTAAAGATCCAAGAACATATGATCAAATTGCATCGCCTCCAAGCTCCGTATTCACCACCGTCGCAGACTGGCATTGGAACGCTTCCTTCAACGAAGCACCACTTGTTCTTTACTTCTAATGCGATTCGCTTTGAAATACTCCAAGCACCATAGTTTTAGTTGCCAATCAATGGAGGATTCACGAGCACAGTGCTAGGATTATCTGTCTAACTGAGGAAGAGATGATTCTCCATCTCTTCTAGACTAGAACTTCTGTGAATGGAATTTCTCTACGAAATCGTGGATGAAGCTTCTGCGTGGACTGGAGAAGCAGTGATCGGGGACGCCGGCTGAACTTGCTGGTTCATCTCGCCGGAAACCAAGTTGCGTAGGAGCTCTGATACCATGATAAAGTGTTGAACGTGAAACTTGCATTAATGAGTGAAAGGAAAAATTACAGAGAGCAATACAGAAGCTTCCCCTCTTATATCATGGAGGGAGAAACGGTTATAACAAAATTATGGAATACACAATTACATTGCTGCCCTTTATTATCCTTTTGCCTATCATCAGCTATTTTGGTAGGTTCCTTCATCATTTCGTTTATGTCGTTAACTTCTAAAAAGAAAAATCATGTTTCGAATATACAGAATTATATAGTAGAATACACATAAACTCATAACATAATACAATAATCTAACGTAATACAGAATACACATAAACTCTTAACAGAATTCACATAAACATAAGTGTTAAAAAAAAAAAAAAAAAAAAAAAAAAAAACCATGTAACGAACGGAACGGTGTTCGTCGCGTCAACTTCCCACACAACTTATAAAAACGACGTTGTTTTAGGCCAAAACGCACAATGCATTGTGCGATCTGATGCACGATATAACGATTGAGAAATTGATAACAACTTGTTAATTTTACATACCGTTAACTTGGTTAAATTAAAATTTTAAATAATTTTAATCTCAAATGCATAACAAAGCACGTTGTAGTTATTGTTTGATTTTGACGACAAAAACATGTTTTTCTTCTCATATGAAAAAACACGGATTTATTATAATATTTTAATAATATTTGGATCAATATATAATTATATAAATTATAACAACGAATATTATATAGTACAATTGATGAAATGAGCTACATCGATTATATTTTTTGATGTTATCTTTACTTGAATTCGAGCAAATAATTGTCTAATTACGATGCATGAATAAAATTTTTGACTATATATTTACATAATAAAATTAAAGGTAAAATTATAAAAAATTATAATATTTGAAAATGTACATTTATTTGATTATAAGATTAGTGTAAAAGTATGACTTAATTAATTTAATAATATATGACTCGTTTGTCTGCAATTATCTTTATAAAATCGATACGTAATACGTAGTATGTATGATTTATGTAATTATATTATTACTAAAATAAATATAGGAAAAATGAGAAATAATTTAAGTTAATTATTATAAAATAAATCCAATGACTCATTTTAGCTTAATTACCATAAATCTCAGGTGAAGTGATATTTGATGTCAATATGCTTAGTCCTTGAGTGTAGCACATGATTATGAGTTATGTAGATTGCACTAGTGTTGTCACATTTGATACTGATTTCCTTAACTTCAACACCATAATCCTTGAGTTGTTGCTTCATCCAAAGGATTTGAGCACAATAACTTCCTACAACTATGTACTCCGCTTCGACAGTACTTGTGGCAATAGAATTCTGCTTTTTGTTGAACCATGAAACAATCTTTCCTCCTAGAAATTGACAAGTTTCAGAGGTGCTCTTTCAGTCTATCTTGCAACCATCAAAATCAGTGTTTGAGTAGCCAACTAGCTCAAATGAACCACCTTTCGGATATCAAAGCCCAACACTTCGCTTACCTTTAAGGTATCTTAGGATCTTTTTGGTTGTTGTGAGGTGACTCTCCTTAGGATTAGACTAAAATCTCGCACGAACTCCCAAGGCAAACAAGATGTATGGTCTACTAGTTGTTAAGTACATAAGAGAGCAAGTTATACCTCTATATTTTGCTTGATCTACTTCTTTGCCTTCGTTATCCATGTTCATTCGCAACGAAGTGTTCATTGGAATCTTGACTAATGACTTCCCATCAACTCCAAACTTCTTGATTAAATCCTTTGTGTACTTTGTTTGATTGATGAAGATGCCTTTTTTGCTTTGCTTGACTTGCAATCCCAAGAAGTAGTTCAGTTCTCCTATCATTCTCATTTTAAACTTACTAACTTGGAGAACTTTTCACATAAGGATAGATTGGTGCTTCCAAAAATAATGTCGTCTATATAGATTTACACTAATAAGATGTAATCATCATCCTTAATCCGGAATAGGGTTTTATCTACTTGACCTTTCGTGAATTCACAATTGATTTGGAAACACGAGACGGTGCCATACCAAGCTCTTGGCGCTTGTTTCAATCCATACAAGGCCTTTTTCAGGTTATAGACTTTCTCTCCACCCACTTCAATTACAAAACTTGGAGGTTGCTCAACATACACCTCATCTTCCAAAAGACCATTGAGAAATGCGTTCTTGACGTTCATTTGGAAGACCTTGAATTCCTTGAAAGTAGCATAAGCTAAGAAAATCCTTATAACTTCCAATCGTGCCACCGGTGTGAATGTTTCATCAAAATCTATCCCTTCTTCTTGACAATGACCTTTCGCTACGAGTCGAGCTTTGTTCCTAACAATGGCTCCTCGTTCATCCATTTTATTCCCACTTCGTCCCAATAACATTTTGGTACGAAGGTCTAGGAACTAGCTCCCATACATCATTCCTTTCGAATTGATAGAGCTCTTCTTACATCGCTTGTATCCAATCCGGATCACTTAGAGCTTTTTTCACAACTTTAGGCTCAATTTATGAAAGAAATCAAGTCATCATGCTTTCACGAATGGATGATCGTGTCCTTACACCTTACCTTATATCTCTAATAACTTACTCTGGTGGAAGATCTCTTGACCACCTTAGATATGGATGAAAATCCGTTGGAGGAGCTTGCTCATCTACATCATGAACGTTTGATGTAGCTACAACCTTTGATTGTTCGTGTAGATGTAGTCGGCTAGGCAACCGAATGGTAGACTCTGTTGACTGTTTGGAATCAATGTCTCGAACTCTTTCTTATTTATTCACCATTCGCTCTGATCGCTCGGAGTCACACCTCGGCTCTACCTGACTAACTGTTTGAACCTTTCGAATAGCCTTCTTACATCTCGATTGATGTTTCCTTCATCAAATACTATATGGATGGATTCTTCTACCACCATGATTCTTTTGTTAATCACTCTAAAGGTTTTGCTGACTGTTGAATATCCCATGAATAACCCTTCGTCAGCTCTCTCACCGAATGCCATTAGATTAGTTTTTCCGTTGTTGTGAATGAAACAATTGATACCAAAAGTATGGAAATAGCTCACAACTGATTTCTTACCTTTCCATAGTTCTTAGGGTTTTCTCCCATGAACTTTATTGACTACGGAGCGATTTTGGGTGTAACATGATGTGTTAACATGTTCCTCCCAAAATCTTTTAAGTAAGCCAAAAAGTGCAATCATTGACCTTGTGACTTCTTTGAGAGTTCAGTTTCTCCTCTCAGCAACAATGTTTTACTATGGTGTCCTTGCAGCTGAGAGTTGATGGAGAATACCGAATTGTCCACAAAACTCCTTAACCACATGATTGATAACTTTTGTACCCTAATATGACCGAATTTTCACAATACTTGATCTCTTCTCATTTTGCAACTATTTTAACAATTATGGCAATAACCTTTCAGTTTCATTCTTCTTCCTTAAGAA